AACATGACTATAGTCATATTTATGTATTTTTCGAATATGACTACTGTTGAATATCATTGTAGTCATATTCGAATATGTTCTATATTCGCGTTTCAAGTTGACTTGTAATAACAAGATTCAAATTGTGATTTTTTGTGATCTTTTTGTGTGGATGTTGATTGCATTGTTTCCCTAAACAATAGGGAATTTTAGTTGTTTTATATAATTTGATAAACATCACTTTACCTCACTATATAATTGGAATTTTGAAGTTAAAAATTTTAAAAAATGCAATATAAAGAAAGAATATGACTACAGTTGATATAGTCACATATAGTCATATTAGACTATAGTCTTATTCAACTATAGTCATATTCGGCGTAGTACACTTGTCGGGGAAAAAAAATCAATTTTTCGTTAAAAAAAATTAATAAAATATGCCTATAATCTTATTCAACTATAGTCATATTCGGCGTAGTAAACTTGTCGGGAAAAAAAATCAGTTTTTCGTTTAAAAGAATTTAAGAAAATATTAAAAAAATATGAAAAAAAATAATTAAAAAAAAAAACTTCATCTTGCACGTGGGTTTTGATTTTGTATGTGAAGAAGCAATTTTTTTTTTTTTTTTAATTTGTTGGCTGATTTTATGGAGTATATTAAGGTGGTTTTTTATTTTTTTAATTATTTGGCTAATTTCAAGGGATTTGAATATTGAGTTGGAAAAAAATTACTATTATTTTGGCATTATTTAAGGAAAGGGACGTGTATTAATGGGATGGATTATTTTTGAGTAGGAGATTTTCTAATTTCAGAAGGGTAGTATTGGAATTAATATTTATAGGGGTTTATCACAAAGAAAGATTTAAGGGTTGGACATATCACCATTTATTACTCATCCAAGGGGTTTATTGCTAAAGACCCCAATATAAACAGAGCCAGAATATACTTGTCCAATCAAATCATTGCTTACTTGTACCTCATTAACAATATTTAAATAATTAATTAATTAATTATGCCACTAAACCTAATATAATGATGCATATGCTTCTAATGCAAAGAGAATATTCTACAATGGGGGCCATTGAATATTGATTCTCACATGTTGCTCTATTATTAATAAATAAATAACAAAATATAAAATGTTTTTGATACCACAAATTGCAATAGAAACATAGTTCATATTATTAATGAAATTATAACTTTCTTTATAAAAAACAACAATTATTCAAAGTTCGAGAAAATTGTTTTTTTTACAAATTATTGTATTTATTAACGATTATTTTTGCCGAACAAAGAAGATTATCTTTTTTTTTTCAGTCATATTGTTACTTAGATATATATTCGACTTAATTTAATAAAATAATTTATGTTTTTAATTGATATATTGATATTGTTGATATATATTAACAACGTTAGTTATTAGCAAAACTAAGTGATTTTACGCAATAAATACACAATATATGGGTTTGTGACATATTTTCGTTAACACCAAAATAACCTTCGCAATGGACCGACTCTTGTAAAATCTTGAACTAGAGCTCGAGTTTTTTGACAAGATGGACGTTAATCGGTAGTTTTGGTGATTAATTTTTATTGTAATTATTATTTTGTTATTATTGAAAGTTTGAAACAGTTCGATAAGCTCGATCTCTAGTACATTATTAATCGGCACACGAAAACTCGTTTTTTTTTTTTTTTTTTTTCTGTCGAGTATCACATCTGAATTTCAGGATTGATTCATCGATTCGATTATAGTCCAGATTCTAAAATCGTTGTATCTTGAAAATGTATCTGGACATTAAAATGCAAAGAGGTTCACTAAATAGTTCATTAATCAAGAAGCTACTTACTTTGTTTTCTCCACGAATAGTTAAACAATTCGGAATAGTTAGTTCCACCAGTTAGAAATTGGAATAGCATCACACAGCATTGACCATCCATGATATTAATTTCATTTACTTATCTAAAAAATATTTAAATCTTCTTTTTTTTTTTTAATTTGTAATGGCCGTATGCATGCTACATGCTGTATTATATTTATTGTCCAATTTTTTTTTATTATTTATTTATTTATTTTTTTATAAAAAAAAATTTATGTAGTAAAGGAACATGCAATAACCTATTTAAGTGCATTGAGTAAACTTATACAATATACTCTCGTATAGTAGCTTTCATAGTTGCAAATCATACGAGAGACGTAAATCAGACTAGACTATGAATCAGCATGTGAGATTTTATTCGAATTTCTAAATAGTTTGGCTTAAGCATATATAACATAAATCCTAAATAGTTGTGAATGTCATGAAAATATTTGTAATTGTAGGTTTGAATGTGTTTTTTAGTATAAAATACCAGCTATTTTTTTGGTTTTTATTATTAAGATAAGATTTTCTTTTATTTCTTTAATTAAATGAAGATAATTTTGTAAATATTAATCTTTTTTTTTTTTTTGCTCCTTCCCCTCTTATCTTAATCATGATTAAAGTCCTAATTAATCACTTGCAGTACAATTAACAATCTTATCTGATACCCAGTACACTGGGAAATAAAACTTTAATCAATGATTAATCAATTCGAGTGTCATTATCAAATGCATGCTTCCAAGTTACAAGAGATACAAATTAAAATCATATAATTAAAAAAAAATTAAAATTACGAAAATGACACAAAATCAACTCTTGTCCCACTCTATAATTTAATTCACTGCAAAAATTTCACGAATTACAGCTGTAAATTCAATTTCTACAACTTAAATAAAAAAAAAAATACAATCAGTAAATAGCCGGTGAGGCTGTGCTTGTATGCGTGGAGGAGGAGGTGGCCGGAGAATTCGAATGTACTCCGCCATCACTATGGCTGCAGCCTCTATCATTATCGGAAATATGTTGTCTTTGTTTAGAGGCGTGGTGGAAGGGTGGCGGCAGGGAAGCTACCGGGGCATAGATTCCGGTGGAGTTGGCCACACCGGAAGCTGCCTCCCCGGAAGTGGTGGTTGCTGCCGCCATTGGAGTAGCATATTCCGGCTGCATCCATATTCCTCCGACCACCACAAATTGCGGCGCTTGTTGATTGTTGTTGTTGTTGTTTTGCATTGACTGGTTGTTAGGCCTTCTTGTGTGTAACCGATACTTCTGCAAATAATAACAAGAAAAAAAAATTATGTATTTATAATTAAGGTTGTAATAATTTAATTTCTTGATCTTGTTATACTATTTAGGAGAATTAAAGAAAATCTTATTTCTCAAGCCTCTAATTAATCTAAAGAAATATTGTTAAATTAAAAGTGGTTGATTTTTTTTGCATTATTGTTGTTGTTATTGTTATTATTAGTATTACTATTCGAAATTCGAGTCGATTAGTCTTAATTCCTTGAAACGAAAGTTTCTCCCCGGAATTCAAAATGTGATTAGGACCCGCAAAAAAGATTTTACTAAATCAAACAAGAATCTAAGCTAAGTTAGCCATGGATAATTCAAAGATATAAAAATTAATAAATATTGATTAAATAGAAATAATTAAATGAAAAAAAATAAATATTGTATAGGGTTTGAAAAGTATATGAACACAAACAAACCTGTAAATGGCTCTTAACCTCGTCATTAGTGAGACCATCAACCTTCATCAACTCCCTAATTTGTTTAGGAGTGGCAACTGTGTAAATACAGACAATAAAAAAAAATAAAAAATCATTAGTACGTAATTAATTAGATATTATATTCATAATTAATCAGATAAACAAAATTAGGTCTAATTAAAGTAAGATGCGTACGATGTGAGCCACCGAGTTGTTGAAGGGATTGCAGGAATCGTCTGTGTAACTCAGGTGACCAACACCTCCTTGACTTTCTCTGCGACTGCGACTCCTTATCTTCCTTCTTATTTCCGCCGCCTGTCTCCGCCGTGGAGCTGGTGGATGCCGGTGGCATCGACCCTTCTTGTGGAGGAGCTGCAACAACCGCTACAGTAGTAGTAGTAGTACTCTTCTCCTTCTTAAAGGGATGAAATGCGCCGCCGCCACCGTTCCTCTTCACCTCCGTCACCGCCACTTTTCTCGGCGAATCCTGATAAACACAACAAAAGATTCCGACCAAATTAAAGATCCGGTTTTTTATTTTTTATTTTTTTGTCCGAATTTACAAAAAAATGCGAAAAAATTACCTCTTTTGACAGATCTGGGGTTTGATTATTCCAGAGCTGAACAGATCTAAGCCAATCAGATTTTTTGTTGCTGCTATCGTCGTCGTTTTTCAGCTTCTTCGATTCCTGCTCTTCTTCTTCTTCATCGTCTTCGTCGGAGTGAAATGACGAAAATGCCCTTTTGATAGGGATGAACTCTTCCAGCACCGGAACGACGTCGCTTGATGTCTGCTCCGAACATTCCGATAATTGCCCGTGTAACTGCTGCTTGCATGCCTCAATTGCTGCCCCAATTAAAAAAAAATAATTTAATTTTTTTTTCCCCAACAAAAAAAATTAAAAATTAAAAGAAAAAAAAAAAACCTTGGGTAACAAGCTCGAGACAAAGAGGGAGTTCACGTTGGAAAACTTGAATCTTGGAACGCTCTTGCTCTAATCCATGAACGTAATCTTGACACCTCTGCATTTTCTCTGAATAATCACTGTGATTGTGGCCGTTGATCGACGACATCTGTAATTTTATTATTTTTTTTAATTTTCACCTTTGAAGAAAATGGAAGCTTTTAAATTGATGGGGGAGGACTGGGGAGAAAGGTTAGGTTTTGTTTTTGTCTGGGCATAGACAGATCCGAATGAAAACAATATATACGAGAGAGAATAAAGGGATCTTAGAAGAATCAATTGATGGAATAAACTTGGGTTTCACAGGAGCAAAGAAAAAAATATACAGCTTGCTCTATTGTATATTTATAGCATCTAATCTAAATATTAATTTGTATGCATATAATAATATTTATTGAAAAAAGAAAAAGAGAAGGTGGCTTCTTTGAGCTTGGGTGAAACGAGGGGTGCGTGAAAATGACGAGGTCGGGGCGTCGCGTACAGACGAATCTTTGAATGGTTTGGGTTTTAGAGAGAGAAAGGGAGGAGAGAGAGAGGAGAGAGAAGGAGATTTTGAATATTCGGGGGGTGATTCTCGTATGTGGGGCTGGCGTTTGGCGTTACGCTTTGTAATTTAGATAAGATCAAGGACCTGCAATTTCTGTTCTGCGGCAACTATTTACATTAATTTGTTTTTTGCCCCTTGAGGTTTTTTGTTACTAGAATTCTGCCACTACTAGTTTTATATATTTCAACAAATGCGTTTTCTATTTTCCTTTGTTACTCTTGCCAAGTGACACTATAACACAAGGGGTGTGAACGAGTCGAGCTCTGGTGCTCGTCGAGTGTTTTTTTTTGCTCGAACTCGAGCACAAGTTCATTATGGATTTTTTTTATTATTAAAAATTATTTAGATTATAATAAAAAAAATATATAGAAAATAAACAATAAACTGTACTTATATATTTTTTAAATAATTTATATGTTCTGTTTATATTATTTATGTAATATTATATATTATTATACACTATTTAAATAAAAAAAATAATATATAAAAAAAGGTTCATGAGTCAGCTCGTGAACTTACGAACAACTAAAAAAAGTTCGAGTTTGACTTATCAAAGAGCTCGAAAACTCGAGTTCGAGCTTTTTTCAAGTCGTCTCATCGAGCTCGCGAGTCAGCCCAGCTCGTTTACCACCACTACTAACACTACCAGTCTACCATGAATTTTGAATATTGATCTCGTTATACAATGACAATTAAATATTCTATAGTTATTTAGTTTTGATCTTCTTGTACAACAAACTAATTAATCATAATTCATTTTACAAACTATAAACGTGCTAAGACAAAATTTAGCACAAAATAAATAAAGTGGGGTCAAAACCGAAGGATAGGGATGTGACAGGGTGAAATTGCAATTCCACCTAACTCGTTTCCTCTCCATATATTTAATTGTTCTTAGACGGAATATACCTTTTAGGGGTAGAAGAATCGCGAGACACAAAATGAAGCTGGGGTGGGGGCGGGGGTAGGGGTGGTAGAATCTTCCACCGGCGCGTGACTTCACGTGCCTCCACTCCGCCACCGCGTGCCGTTCCGTGTTCATTTAATGGGACGGTTTTGGAAACTTAAACTGCCCTTTCGCACTTCTAGGGGCCAGCCAGCCACCAGGCTCAAAATATATCCAAATCTCCCCTCCTTCTCGCGTGCATCTCACGAACCAATCATACGTGGAAACTTGTTCCAATGGGGTCCCTTTCATCGTATGTTTCAAGACCCGAATATTCCTTTTATTGGGGGTATCTTAGGAGGCTGGATCAGCTGTGGTCGAGCTCATCAAAACAAAAGGTCTTCCATTTATTCTAGGTTTTACTTTTATATTTTTTAAATGAAGTTGCAGCTTGACTATACTTGAAGCATGATTCTATTCGAGGAGGGTTTCTTGAGATTTTGGATTTGTTATCTTTAATCAATTTAATTAATTAAATATGCAATGTTGGATTATTTTTTTTAATATAAAAAAAAAGATAATATAATTAATTATTCTTAATGAAAATATTAAAGTGATGGAATGGCCAATGGGTGCTCAAGATTTTGTCCAATAAGAATCTCCAATTCTTAAAATAATAAATATTATTCCTTAATATTAAATTAAAAAAAAAAGGCATTTAAAATGCATTTTATTTTTAAACTTTTTTCCACTTCCCTAACTGAACTTGGATCCAAGAAGTAGACTTAGGGCTTAATTGACTTTAGGGGATAATTTTCAGCCCATTTCAAAATTATGAAAAAGTCAACCACTAATAGTTTAGTTCGGCCCAAAGGCTCATACCATTACTCTTAATTAAACACTATTAGCATATTATAATATTTTTGTATTTATTTAATTCCCAATTTCTAGGCATATAAGAAAAGTCATTAATTAAATTTAGTGAGACGCAGCGTTTTGATAAGCTGCCCCTTCATTGTCCAAAGGCTATAATTGTGTTAGAAAGAGATAAGCATGAATTTGGCACGTTGAAAAATAAAAATTGATTGATTTTGAATGATGTGGGATGAAAGATTTTGTTTATGTCATGCATTTCTGGAAACCAATTTCTTTTTTAATGGTATTTAAATTCGTTTTGTAAAATTACGAAGATAACGACAGTATATAATGCCACCGAATTCGTGTAAGTTAATATAAAAATTTCATGTGTTAAAATAATTAATCACGAAGCTGGAGATAACCGTCCACTAATTAATAATAATAAACCCAATTATTTAAATAAATAAAATTTATTACATAAAGTTAAAACGATAAATTGTATTTGACTTCGATAATCAAATGTCGAACATGAATACATGATCGAAACTATTTACAAAATTATTGAAAATTTTGATCCTTCATCCGATTTCATTTCCAAATTTTTTTATGTCATATTAATATTTATATATGAGATTTATATAATATATAATTAAACAAACTGAAATGTTAAATCCTGCACTAAAATTATTAAATCCAACACACAAATAAAAAACTTTTTCTCTCTAAAATCCTCCAAAACCCTGTTCCTTTCCTCTTCTTTTCCCACACTTCTCTCCTCATTGTTTGCAAAATCACACTCCAAATCAAATCAAATTCAATTCGACGAACGAGCAAAAAAAATCTTTAAATTGCGCTAAAAAAGAATGCAGACGGAGGTAGGCGGGTGTCTTTGGTGGCCGCGGGGTGAAGAAAGGTGCATCCACCATAGCCACGGGTTGTCGTAGCGTGCGTCCATGGTGGGACGCAAAAGGGTGTCAGATTTTTTTTTTTAATTTAGATATAATAATTATTTATTAATATTTACTAACGATATTAAATATTCTTAATGTATATGTTTTATGTTTTTCTTTTCTTTTGATCGATAATTTAATACTATTTTATAAGCATTAATAATTGTTTAATAATTTCACAATGTTTAAAATAGTTATTTAAGTAATGTTATGAATAATTGTTAATTTAATATTTAAATCTTTTTTTATGAATATTAATAATTTTGTGTGAAAAGGAGGAAACGAAAGAAGTGAAAGGTGTTGAGGAGAGAAGTCAGAGAGAATAGATGTAGAGAGATAAACTATTTGATTTATGTGCAGAATTTAGTAAATTTTAGTGTTGGATTTAGCACTCCCCTTAAACAAATACCAACATAATATCATACTTTTTATAATTTCACCAGGATATATTTTGTATTAGATAAAATTATTATGGGTTAGACCTTAATTTGGGTCTAAGGCCCAACACGTATAAATTCAGGCTGCATATTTTTGGGCCAAAAATTTACAAAGGGATACAGTTTATTTAGGTTTAATTTCACTTTGCACCCTTGAAATGTACGATTTTGTCACTTTGAGGCCTCAAAACATGTTTTGAGGGTTCAAAGTGCCAAATGACACATTTCGAGGGTGCAAAGTGAAATTAAGCTGTTTATTATTTAAAAAAAGGGATTATTAGCAAGAACCCCCTCGTCTAGGAAATGTAGTTAAGAAAACTCCCCCTCCCAAAAATAATTAGTGAAAACCCCCTTAGTTAGTATTTCACCAAATGTTATTTTTATAATTCCCAAATCTACCCTTATTTGTCAATGTATTATTTTGAAACCCTAATTTCTCTCATATTTTTTTTTCAACATCTCTGCCCCTTACCACCACCATTACCTCTCCCCCGCCGTCCACCATCTCTGCCCATCACCACCACCGCTACCTTCCCCCGCTGTCCACTGCTACTGCCGCCAGATTGAAGAAAGGTGCCTCCGTTGACCAACGCCGCCTGCCCAAGGATTCCGACTCCATCAAGGTCTCTCTGACTACTGTTCGGACAAGAAACCTGCTGCGGTGAACTGGATTAAAGGGAGGGAAAAATCGGTTGTGTGCGAGGCCATCATCAAGGAGGAGATTGTGAAGAAGGTGCTAAAGACTGATGTTGCTTCATTGGTGGAGGTGAACATGCTCAAAACCTGACGGGTTCGGCCATGGCAGGAGCTCTGGGTGGTGTGGTGACGATGGGGAGGCTGTTTTTGGGTTTTTTTGTGGATAAGACGGAGGACGGCGCGTGTAGAGAATTTCGCGCAGGCTGAGACCTTAATCGACTATGTACATGTTTATAGTCAATTAAGCTAATCGACTATGTTCTGGTATTCGATTAAGGCTGATCGACTCCAGTTTTTTTATTTTTTTTGGATTTCTTGTTTATTGATTTCAATTGTATAAATCATTTATAACGTTTGTATATTTTTTGTTTTTTGTAAAATATAGTTGATTTTGCATATTTTTTTGTTATGTTTAGTAGCAGATTCTTAATCGACTACGCTTCATCATAGTCGATTAATATACCTGATATAGAAAAAAAAATTAAAAAACAAAAAAAAATTAAAAAATTAAAGAATTTCCTTAATCGACTATGAAGCATAGTCGATTAAGGAAACTGATACAGAAAAGACAGAAAAAAAAAACGGGAAAAAAAAATGTTGAGCGCGTGACCCAGTGATGATGTGGCGGGCGGGGGTAAAGCTGGAAAACATAATGGGTGAAAATGAGTGTGGGCTTTTCTCAAATGGACTAAAATATTTTGGACTTCCCCCTATTAAAAAAAGTAATGAGGGGGTTTCCTCAAAGAGCCCCATAAAAAAAAAACGAAAAACCCAACATTCAATTAACAAAAAAAAAGAAAAAAAAAATAGCGAAAACGACAAAATATGCGAAAATTAATTAAAACACCAATAGAGTTAAATTCCCAAATCCGCAAACATCAATTAATCAGTGAAGTTGCAGACGGCGGCGTGAGGCTCAGCCGCCTTGGCAGCCGCCGACGGCTCCACCGCCGCAGTTGGCGGCACCGGCTTACCCATCAGCTCAGCCGGCAAATCCTCGATCCCCTTCAGATAAAACGTGTAGAAGAACTTAAAAGGGAGCGAAATCTGCTGCAGCTTCACCGTACCGTAGACCCCCTCGAACACGCCGGAGCCGCCGGTGACGGCGAGGATAGTGTCCTGGTGCAGCACGTACGCCCCCTGAATCGAAATGTGGCCGTAGTCGCCGAAGTACATGCTGTATATCGCCTCAAATCTGTCGTTGCCCGTCTCCGGCGAGTGTTGAATAAGTACGCACAAACCGGCGGTGATGCCTAATCTCTTTTGCAGGTTGCCGGAGTAGAGCTTGTTGGTGAACGGGCCGAGATCGCCGAGGGAATTCTCCTTCTTCGGGCTTAGTTTTAGGTATACCGGGCTCCCACGGTCTTGCTCGTTGATCTCATATACGCACATTTCTTGAACCTTGCCTGAAAATATAATCATTATATATATATATATATATATATATATATATATATATATATATATATATATATATATATATATATATATATATATATATATATATATATATATATATATATATATATACAATAATATTGTTCCAAAATTTAGGTATCTTATCATTTTTTTTTATAAATCAAGAAAATATGTTTATTTACTATTTAATGGTAATAATATATATATAAATAAAATCCTACCCTACTAAAATTCAGAATTGAAAGATTTTGTTACTACTAGCATCGTAAAGGAGTACAACTTGTTAGATAACTATAAATTTTAGTGGTCAAAGTCAAACTACTTTTCAAATTTACACACCCAATATTTATACCTCGCAAAAATCGTACGAAATATGTAAACCAGTCTAGTTAGCTATATCTGTGACAAATTCGACCTAAAAAATGTTGTCTGTGAGTTTTATGTACAATATATATATATATATACTTCAGCTTACTTGGTCTTGAATACTCCTTTGGCTTTTGTTTCGAAAAGAAGAAGGCTTGCGTCGTGAGACTTTTCGAAGATCTTCCACTGGAGAATCTCCGACTACTATAACTACTTGTGGAAATCTTGAAATCTTTTGTGGGAATAGAAGAATAAGGTGGAAGGGTAAAAGAAGGGAAATTAGCAGATGCTGCTTGAACCTTGTAACTCGTTAAGGAATTTGCGCAAGAAGCCGCCATTGATGGGAAAATAATGAAGAAATTAAAATGAATTCAAGAATCGACTGTGTGTTAATTGAAGAAGATGGAATGGAACAGAAAGATAGGAAAATATGTAATTATTTATGGGCGCATGCAATGCACGTGCACAGTGTACATACACATGCAAATTAATGTTTGTATATTAGGGTTTGAATAGTCGTACATAGGTTTAATGTGCTTAGGGAAGATGAAAAATCTGTGTTTAATTTTAAATAATATGACGATTTTATTCATTTCAATTTTATTTTAGTAATTAAATGAAGGTTATTTTAATTTAATATTATTTTGGAATTTATCTTTTTTTTTTTTTGTTAGGGAGAATATTTAAGGGTCTTGCAAATAGAAGTAAATGTGTTTATGTATAAGCATTGAAGTAGAGAGTGTATTTTATTAGGGAAATTCATTGGAAGAAAATAGTTGCATGTGACTGGCACGTGAGGAGGGAACAGTCAGCCTTGTAGACGGGAAATAAACCAATAGTCAAATGGTCCTACTTGCCACGTGAGCGCTTTCTTTGAGTGCCACTCGTTCTTTTTATTAATGTTTTCAGAACCGGAACGGTTATAGAACCGGACGACCATTTGGGTCATGGGTTTCTAGGGTCAAACCGGTTCAATCGGGTTTTTTATTTTTTTTACATATACCATTATTTTATTAATTTCATTAATTTCAGTGTTTTAAAAATATTATTTTCTTTATATTTTTAATCTCCCACTTATTATTTTCACTTTAATCTATTTCACCTCACTTTTTACTATATTTTGTTTATACTATATTTTTCCATTTTTATTTTTCAAATTCGCCAATCGGCCACCCCTATTCGATCACCCTTCATCATATCCGACAATTTTTCAACCACTCATGACTAAATCCGGCTACCCACTACTAAGTATGTGAAGGTTCGCTCAAATCTAGCCACAAATAACCAACTCAACATTGATTCGAGACGTTTTGGCCGAAAACCGGATTCTTTGACTGACTCGTCGGTTCTCGAGTTTTACCCGGTCGAACCGGATTTTGGTCATTTGACCCCAGTTTTTGATTTTTCCGGTTTTAAATATTAGACCGGACCGCTTTATTGCTGGGTCACGGTCGAACCGGTCCGACCGACCGGTTCGTTCCGGTTCTAACAACATAGCTTTTTATTAATACCTTGAGACCGGGTCCACTCGTAAACTTGCCGGGAGAGTTGATAATTAAATTCCTTTTTTATTCCTCAATAAAATAAAAATAAAAATAAATTCCTTTTGCACTTATCAATTTAATTTTTGGGTTGGGCCGCAAGATCCAACCCATCTAAATTCAAATAGTTGGATTAAAATTCTTTTTTTTTTTTTTGAGTAAAGTTGGATTAAAATTCAACCAACCCAAAAGTTAAATAGACAATTTCCAGGGAGTGTTTGGCAAAGCTTTAAAAAAAATAATAGATGGTGATTATGCGTTATGTTAGTAATAAGTAATTATTTCTAAAAGTTGTGAGAGTTCGTAAATTAGCTTAAAGTAATTTACTTTCAAATATGTAGAAACAAAAGTTGATATTGCAAATACGTGCTTTCTGAAACCGAAAAAGCTTATAATCACTTTTCAAAAGCTTTTGCAAACACCATCAAAAATTGGTCGTTTATCCTAATGATCTTGTATTTTTCTAAGGGGAAATGAGGGATAACCCCCTAGTTTTCAAAATATATATGGATAGACCCAATTGATTTTTCTTCCCTAGTCAAAAACCCAAATTCTAATCTTAATTTGATAGAACCCCCTAGACAAATTGAAATACCTGTTTTACCCTTTTATTTTCAATTTAATAAATATCATATTTCCTAAATTTCTCTATCATCCGTCTCACACCCACCAAACCCCACATCTCTCCCCCTCTCTCTCTCCCCCTTTCTTTCTCTCTCTCCATCTCCTCCTCTCTCGTCAGATCTGTCCGCTCCCAACCGCCTTTCGCCGCCAGCCGCTGCTCCCCACTACCTTCCGTCGTCGGCTGCTGTCCCCTCACCGCCTTCCGACGCTGCTCCCCGCCGTTTTTCGCCGTCAGCCGGTGCTCCTCACTGCCTTCCGTCGCCGGTTGCTGCCCCCTCACGGCCTTCCGCCGCTGCTCCCCACAGACTTTTGTTGCCAGCTGCTGCCCCGCCGCTGCGACATTGAGTTGATTCCGACGGTATGTGAAATATGCTGCTTGTGCCTAAAACCTAATCAATATATATATATATATATATATATATATATATATATATATATATATATATATATATATATATATATATATATATATATATATATATATATATTTTATATGTTCTGTTCTTGGAAGGGCTTTAATTATTATGGTTTATATTATGAATGTGTTTAGAGATTGTTGATTTAAATAGTGGGAATTTGCTATTTTGATGAGATGAAAGATGTTCCTTGTGGTAGTATATATATACCAGTTTTTTTTTTTTAAACCAAATTATTTTGAAATTCATTTGAGTCAAACAATATATAAACTAAAAGTAAATAAATAAATTAAAATTAAAACTCACTTGAACGTTTTTTGTAGGGACGTAAGGAGTGTCCCAACTGGAACCTTGTGTGCCATGTGGAAGGATTCGAACCTGGTTCTAGATACTTCGAGAGGCTTAGTAGGTGAAATCCGGGTGACCCATTCAATTACATAATTAAGTAATTTAGTTACTAAATCATTTACTTATGATTAACAATTTACATAGATTTGACATAATTTAATTACTCTGGTTAATGATTAATGGTTAATGGTTAATGATATGATGTAGTTTGTGTGAATTTTCCCCAACCGATGATATCCACCCAATGTTTTTGTGCTAGTATTTGTCACCATTGAATTCATGTATAAAAGGCCTGATAGATGTATGAACTATCTCTAATAGTTATGATTTTGATAGTATTGTGAAACCAGTCCAAGATTGAGAGCAATATATCATCTTATTTAGATAGATTATAGATGTATGAATTCGTTGATTCCACGTCTTAATGATCCAGCACATGTAAATACATGTAGTAATATATAGTAACATATAGTAACATTTAGTAACATTTGCATGTGACTGTGTATTTGATTTGTTTTTATTGGCTATGAGTTGATTTATAATGTAAATATGTAAACTGAACTTGATTTTTTGTTACAGGTCTCGGTGTTTAAACAACTTCTAGCACTATTTTTTTGTCGAGAGGACATGGTGTTCGTCAATTCAAAATAGTTCTTTTGCGATAGATCGGAGTTGCTGTCGTGTTGAAAAGTGGGATTTGAAGCTATAAATACAAACTACACTATATATGACTATACTTTTATAGATAGTCACATGTAGTCATATACATGTAGTCATATATAGTCACATGTAGTCATATACATGTAGTCATATATAGTCACATGTAGTCATATACATGTAGTTATATTTAGTCACATGTAGTCATATATAGTCACATATTGTCATATAGATATAGTCATATATATTCACATGTAGTTATATATAGTCATATATAAGTTATGTGGTGATTCTGATGTATAGTGATGTTGATGATTGCATTTTTTCAATTTTTTGTTGGGTGCGAATTGATTTATAATATCATTATTCAAATTTTGAATTTTGTTGGAGATGTAGATGAATTTTTTTTTTATAAAATCAACGATATATATAATCGGTCGACCATAACTTTGGGTAAAAAGACAGTACATGACTATAGTCTTATATAATCATATATAGTCATATCCGAAATAGTGAAGTTTTCGGGAAAAAAAAAAATCAGAAAAAAAGAAAAGCTAAAAAGAAAAAAAAAAAAAAAACTTATATAGTCATATTCGAAACAGAGAAGTTTTCAGGGAAAAAAAATCAGAAAAAAAAAAGCTAAAAAAAAAAAAAAAAAAAAAAAAAA